GCTGAGATAAATGCATAGATAATTAATCACACAGTACAAAAGTACATAATACATATTTTAAAGTTTGAAGGTTTAAGAGATTTGAGTCTTGTTTTTTATTAAGAAAGAGTTTCTGGTTTTAAATGTCATCATTAGTAAGATAATAAGTAATCTTTTATTTACATAGCGCTTGGGAAAACCCAGAGCGCTTCAAAATTGTTTAGACTTCAGAGAGAAAAACAATCTCATTCACAATCTCTGTTGTTTTTAATTTGACTATAAGGTTGTTTTCCAGAACCGAGAGCACACACTGTACAGGGTCACTGGACTGCTGGACACTGGACAGCGCAAAGCCCACCCAGCCACAGGTCACAGATCAAAGAGCAAAGGAAAATGCCACCTCCTTGCCCCTCCCCACGCCACTGCAGAACTGAGTGGGTGTGAGAGAGACCGGGGCCATGAAAGAGAGGTATCTGGAGACGTGATGGGTGGAGCGTCAGGTAGAGACCTAGAGGGAGTTGAGAGTGTGTCCAGTTGGTTTGCATCACCACAGTGTGACCTTTGACACCTACAGGTGGTTCGTGGAGTCTTGAGACACAACCCCAAAATTCACATACACACACACACATACACATTCATACACTCACACATTCACATTTACATATAGATACATGAAAAAGCAGAACATGAGAAAAAAGCATTAAAAGTTTACTCCAATGTAAACACATATTTTTAATTGTCTATCACTTGAATCTTTAGTTGAATCAGTATTTTTTGAGACCAGAAATGTTCATTTGAATTCTATATTGTCATGGACATAATTGACCTCTGTCCTGACACTTTTGATTTGTTGATTTTGTACTGTGTGAAGTAATTACATTGATGAGAATTAGATCTGATAAAAACACAAATTAGAGAAGTAAACTGCGCTTGCTTTTGTCTAAGGGACATTAGCAACAGCATGAATAGAAATTGTCTTTAAAGTAGAATCAAAGTGACTTAACCATAGAAAGTAACTACTGCATAACAAGCTGTGTACAGGAACTGAGACACTGCACCATTGACCAGAAGTGCATCGCAAATGACCTGATGTGCTTCAACTGAAAAGACTGTATCTGGAGATCCTGATGTGCATCTGGAGACCAGAACCAGAACCATGGCTTGGACCCTACTGATGTCCAAGATGACCTGACCTGATGACGACTGAGACTCACCCTCAGGGGACCCTGAGGATCTGAGGGCCTGAGAGAGAAAACTGGGGAGTGATGTTTATATTTTTGAAATCATACATTGATGAGTGCTAAATGAGAGAGATACTCATGATTCTTTCTTTTGTTTGTGTTTGTCCCTAGCTTCTGGACATCTGATGATCTATTGGACACAGCGATTTGCAGAACAAGAACCAGCCAATGAAAAACGTCTATTGCCGATGCTATTGCTACAACCAGAACCTGTGACAAATGCAATATACATGTAAAGTATTCAGACAACTGACAGACAAAAACTTTGACTTTTTAGTCTGGGAGAGTGAGCAACTGTTAAAATGTTTTAAAATGATAAAGTTTGAGTATTGTAGCGTTTTAGTAGATGTTAAATAGTAGTAAAAAAGTAGAATTTGACTTCCTTTGTTGTTCATAAACACATTTCCACATAAGAGTTAAAATAGTACCCTACAATGTTATCCTTTTGATAGAGCAGCTAAAATATTAGAATCAGAGTTATGTTACAGCCATTAAAAGTGACAGAAGTCACAAATTAGAAATATGCCTTTGCTCAAGCTGCAGCCGAGCTTTTGAGTCACAATAGTGTAGAAATAGGATTAGATAAATGCATCAACCATAGATGCTTTCAAAAATAGAGATTATTTGTAGCCAGTGCTAATATCAAATGGTAAAGGGACCATTTCACAAACCTTTACTTCAAAAGTAGATAAAGTTACTTACAGTTTTATGTACAGTTTTATTAGATACTTGCCAAATTCACTTGTGTTCAAACATGAGTGAATGTTGACAATGCAAAAGTTTATATGAGTGTAGCCTAGATCAATGAGATAGATTAGAACCAACAGAGATTCAAAAGCATTTAAAAGCATTTTGATGCATTTGGGTGTAGCACAAAAACACAATAGTAGATATTTGGATATCTTTGAGAAGTTTCCAGCACAAACACCATTGTAGAATAACTGACCCCAACCCCAAACCTAATTAGCTACTATTAGGATAATACTAATTTGATTAATGATGTACATTCATCCCAAATGCCTGACAATAATATCTTTAGATAATAAAAAGTAATAAATCATTGACCACTATAGAAGTGTAAATGTTGACCATTTGCCTTACTGTGTTCACAGTTTTATTCCTGAGAATGAGAATAGATGGAGCAAAATCCCACTAATAATATGCCACTGATAATTAGAGTGTAAACCACAGAACAGAGAGATTTATTAGTTTAAGAATATGGCTCAATAGAAGCAAATATGCAAACATATTTGTGAATAGATTAGAATAGTTTTAAACTATAGTGAATAGAGAGTAAAGTACACAGTATAAGATTAAAAAGTGAAAATAATACAGTGAAATAAGTGAAGTGTAGTGTAAACAATTGTCATTAGAATAAAAGTATAGAGTAATAAAAGTGAAATTAGCTTCAAAATTGAGACTCAGCTCGTTTTTGTCTGTGTTTTGACTGAATCTGCTGAGTTCTTGTGTGTCCAATAGTTTTTGTTTGTTTTTATTTTTGTTTGTTTTTATTTTTGATTTGTTTGTTTGTTTTTGTTTGTTTATTTTTTCCAGGATAGAGGATAAAATCCACTGATATTGATTTGATGATAATGAGTTTTAATAAGTTTTTTTTTGGATTTTTTTTTTTTTTTCTTTTTCCACTTTATTGATTGATCGATTTGAGTGATCACATGTGATTATGTGATCAAAGGGGAGGGTATTAGTATTAGATAGCAATATGGCCTACGTGCAGGACTGTACAAGGACTCTACAAGGACTCCATGTTATGACTATGATTTGACTGTCTCTTTGTGACACGTATGTCTTTCGATGTGTGACGTGACAATGACTATATAAACTGTGTACTGCCTTTATTCTGTCTGAGAGAAAGAAACAGAGTAAAACAGTGGAACTTGAGAGAAACTTAAATAAACTTCCAGAGTTTGGCACACCACGATCCGTCTCTGTCTGCTAAATCCTTACAATGAGTTCTGCTGTAACATAATTACATGAAATGTTTTTAATGACAGCTTTTGCCACTAATCAGGAAGTTTTCTATCATAGATCATTAACTTTGTGTCTTTTACCTTTTCAAAAAACCAAAACCTTTACTTTATTTGTTTGTTTGTTAAGAAGAAAGACCGTGCACTCTTTCAGAGCGTCATTCAGTTTCCGTAGTGTAGTGGTTATCACGTTCGCCTAACACGCGAAAGGTCCCCGGTTCGAAACCGGGCGGAAACATGTTTTTTTTTTTTTTTTTCAGCATATTTTCAACAATATCGCATTAAACTGAAAATATTTCAATTGGAAACGAAGACATTTGTGTTTCGTTGCTCTGTTTGTGATCGTGTTGTCTCTGGCTCAGCAGGAGGCTCCTCTCATAGTCCCTCCTCCACCGCAGTTTATTATTTATAACCCTCACATGTTTTTGTGCTTTTAGGGTTTTGTTATTAACTTTTTAAATGCATGTTGTCTCAAAATGTTTAAAGGGGCATTTTAAGATTCATGAATTTATTTGCAATTTGCAGTAAAACCACATTGGAAAAACTGCCCAAGACCCAGTGTGCATTTTATGGTTTTCTAACATAATCTGGTTTATTTGTTTCCAATAAAATAAAATAAAACGTACCCATCTCCTTCTCCCTTTATGCTGTTTTATTATATCATGTTTTTATCATTTATTCAGAAATAGAAAGTTTGAAGAAACTTGAACCCAGTGCTTTCTCTGCCGTCACCATAGATCTGCTTGGACTATGTATTGTATTGTATTTGCTCTTAATATTAAAATGTTTGTCAGTATTTTACCAAAAATTTCGTGACAGAAGCAAAGGACTGCTTACACAGATTTTTTTTACATTGTCTAATTTTGTTGTGGTTTTAAAGTTAGGTCCCTGAGCTTTAAGTCTAAACACTCTTTATTCTGGTGTGTATTTTTCACAGTGAGTGGCTGAAAGTGTTTTTGTAACTGGGGAAGAACAGCGGCGGAAGATGGTGAAATATTGTGTCATTGAAGAAATCATTGTGGGGGATTTTCCAAACGACTGAAATGTGTGGTTTGTGTTGAGATCGTGACCCTCCGTGTGTCACAAGAACATGTCCAAAAAAGGGAGAAAAGGGACATTAGAGATAATTAAAGAAGGTGACTCATTTGACACAATTTTTAAATCATAAAATTTTTCGGCCTAAAGGTGTGTGTGTGTGTGTTGAGTGTGTGTGTGTGTGTGTGTGTTGGGTGTGTGTGCGCCAATTTCCTTATATGGATATTTCTTCTGACATTTATGGACATTTATCAACATTTACGTACATATGTGTTTGTCATCAATTCATTAGACAAGCTGGAGTTTGTCTCTGAAGGAAGCCCTCTGATTGGTCAGTCCTTATATGGTCATATCTGGATTTACAAAGACAACATCACATATAAACACAGGATCAGAGAGAGATAAAGCACAGATTTACTGAGATAGAGGAGTTTACTTTTACATGGAAGTCAACAGGAGCCAGAGCGACACTATTAGGCGTCATTGAGCTAGCGTGTTAGCATTGTTAGCATTGTTATCATTGTTATCATTGTTATCATTGTTATAATCTACATATAAATAGTCAGACACTATAAAACAGACAGAATTATTAAATGGAGAAATAGTAAAAGTTTAGTTGCAGTTTCTTTTCGCAGCTGTTGCCGCAGTAACCACAAAAGAGGAAGGAGGCAGACGTTTATAAGAGCCCAGCGCTTCTGCTTCCCAGTGTTTACAAAGACACTGTGAGCGTGACTTCGAGCCTCGACCCTTTCAGGAAACAATGGAGGAGGTTTATATCAAACGTGTGGAGATGCTGGGGTTCGAGAAGCGCCTTTCCCCCAGTCGCTATTATGTAAGAATCCTCTGTTTCTAACTCAAACTTAAACTGTTGGAGGTGGTGTTGATTTTGGTGTAAACTTGATCCTGCGTTTGAATGGTTTTATTTTCTGATCTGTGTTTGAGAATTGACAACTTTGTAATGTCCTCCGAGACAACTGCTGGGAACCACATCTCGTTAAATCACTGAAGATAGAACACCTTTGTTGTCTTGCTTTTGAGGTTTAAAGATAGATGTTTTGTTATTTAAAGATCTGTACATGTTATTTATCTAATCTTCTGAACTCTCTTTCTTTGTGTATCTGATCATTTGCACTGGTGTTATAGTGTTGACAGGTTTATTATTATTATTATTATTAGTTAGATATTATTGTAGTTATCATTAGTTTGAGAACCTGTTTGAACCTTTCAGGTGTTCAGGCTGATGGTGTTTGAGAACCTGTTTGAACCTTTCAGGTGTTCAGGCTGATGGTGTTTGAGAACCTGTTTGAACCTTTCAGGTGTTCAGGCTGATGGTGTTTGAGAACCTGTTTGAACCTTGCAGGTGTTCAGGCGGATGGTGTTTGAGAACCTGTTTGAACCTTGCTGGTGTTCAGGCTGATGGTGTTTGAGAACCTGTTTGAACCTTGCAGGTGTCCAGGCTGATGGTGTTTGAGAACCTGTTTGAACCTTGCAGGTGTTCAGGCTGATGGTGTTTGAGAACCTGTTTGAACCTTGCAGGTATTCAGGCTGATGGTGTTTGAGAACCTGTTTGAACCTTGCAGGTGTTCAGGCTGATGGTGTTTGAGAACCTGTTTGAACCTTTCAGGTGTTCAGGCTGATGGTGTTTGAGAACCTGTTTGAACCTTGCAGGTGTTCAGGCTGATGGTGCAGTGGAGCGATCTGTCGGAGAAGGTCATTTATCGAACATATCCAGAAATACACACTTTCCATGTGAGTTATTCATTGATAAATATTAATTTCTTGTCTTAAGTCTGCTTTAACATTTCAGTGCACTGTCCATTCATTCATTCATTCATTCATTCATTCATTCATTCATTCATTCATTCATTCATTCATTCATTTATTCATTCATTCATTCATTCATTCATTCACATACCTCAACCTTACACTAGATTTGCTATTACTATTAATATGTTTTAGAATCGATAATGTATTTGTTTTGTGTGTGTGGATGGATGTGTTTTTGTTACTACTGGACACCTGCATTTCTCCAACAGGGATCAATAACATATATTTAACACATTTACACACTAGCTAATAATTCTGATGTGTTTGTATAAACTCACCAGCAGGGGGCGCATTTGAACACAGTTTCCGTAGTGTAGTGGTTATCACGTTCGCCTCACACGCGAAAGGTCCCCGGTTCGAAACCGGGCGGAAACAAGTTACTTTTTTTTAATTTATCTTCTGGTTTAACTCTATTGTTGTGATAAATTATTTAAAATCAGATTAATGACGAATCAAATGTTTTTTTCCCACATGATTGATGTTGACTTAACTTATCCCCATTTATGTTATTTTATTTTATTATTTCTTATTTTAATTATATTGTCTATTATCTTAAATAATTATATTCAGGGACGTGCGGTGAGGTTTGTGATTGAGGAGGCACTGACTTTAACAGATTTACCATCATTATTATAATAAAATACCATTAAATCGTTAATGCAAAAACGTCCACAGGGTTAACAAGATGGCGCCTCGTACGGTCGACATGGCTCTTTGCTGCTCTCTTTTTCTTTTGTTTTTACTTTTTAACTGTGCATCTGGCTGTTCCTACACCCGTGAGGAACTTATGAACATCCGACCCACCGTTCCCATGGACCTATTGCCTGTTTTCTTGGCATCTGCGGCTGATTTAGTTCATGTTCTAGCCAAAAAAGTGTGGGCCCGTAAAAGGGGAAAGCGAGGAGGCCTGCTCGTGCGTCTTAGGAGGAGAGGAGCGCGCACGGCTCTCCCCGGCATTTTTCTCTCCAACGTACGCTCACTGGGCAATAAGATGGACGAACTCAGCCTGCTCATGAGAAGAAACAAGACTTCGCCACATCCTGTGTCCTCTGCTTCACTGAGACCTGGCTAAATGAGCGGATCCCGGACTGCGCTCTGGAGCTGCAGGGCTTTGGGCTGTTTCGCGCGGATCGCCAGTGCGCTCTCAGGGAAGAGCAGAGGCGGAGGGCTCTGTTTCTACGTCAATACAAACTGGTGTAACGATGTGACAGTGATCTCCAAGCACTGCTCTCCTGCTCTGGAATATCTTTTCATTCATTGTAAACCATATTACTCCCCGCGGGAAATTGTTTCATTCATTCTTGCCTCTGTTTACATACCGCCATGCGCGGACGCAGAGCAAGTACTGTGTATGGAACGTTTATACCCGGACTCTCTGATTATTATCCTGAGGGATTTTAATAAGGGAAACTTGAGCCAGGAATTACCCAAATACAGACAGTTTATCAAATGCCCGACCAGAGAGGAGAACACTCTGGATCACTGTTACACCACCGTGCGCGGAGCTTTTCGCGCTGTTCCCAAGCCAGCCCTCGGCTTCTCAGATCACTCCATGATACATCTGGTTCCTGCTTACAGACAGAGACTAAAGCTCTCGAAACCTGCAGTGAGGAGCTCCAAAGTGTGGTCTGATGAAGCTGTGGAAGAGCTGCGCGCATGCATGGAATCTACAGACTGGGACCTTTTCAGAGCTGCCACAGACAGCTTGGATGAATATACGGACACTGTGACGTCATACATCCACTTCTGTGAGGATAGCATCATTCCAACAAGGACCAGGGTCATCTATAACAACGACAAACCCTGGTTCACTGCTAAACTCCGGCAGCTCAGGAAAGCAAAGGAGTCTGCTTTCAGGGAGGGGGACCGCAGCGGCTACAAAGCAGCTAAATATCAGTTCAGGAAAGAACTGAAAGCAGCCAAGTCCCGGCACAGAGAACGACTACAGGAGCAGTTTGGTAACAACGATACTGCTTCTGTCTGGAGGGGCCTACGGGAGATCACCAACTACAAACCCAAAGCCCCCCCCTGTGCCGATGACCACAAGCTAGCTGACGATCTGAACTTATTTTTCAGTCGCTTTGGTGCTGCCCCTGACACCTCTCCCTCCCCCACCCCCCACTACTCTAACGACCCACCCATCAGCCCTGCCCCCAGCCTAACAATAGCCGCTAAAGAGATTAAACAACTCTTCCTGAGGCTGCACCCCCGCAAAGCTCCTGGCCCGGACCACGTGTCTCCGGCCACTCTGAGACACTGCGCCAGTGAGCTTACTCCTGTGTTCACGGACATTTTCAACTCCTCTCTGCAGTCCTGCCATGTCCCGGCCTGCTTCAAATCCTCCATCATTGTCCCCGTCCCGAAGAAGCCCAGGATCACAGGACTCAATGACTACAGACCTGTAGCACTTACGTCTGTCGTCATGAAGTCATTTGAACGCCTGGTTCTCTCCCATCTCAAGTCCCTCACCTCCCCCCTCCTGGACCCCCTGCAGTTCGCCTACAGAGCCAACAGATCTGTAGACGACGCCATTAACCTGGCCCTCCACCACATCCTACAGCACCTGGACTCCCCGGGGACCTACGCCAGGGTCCTGTTCGTGGACTTCAGCTCTGCCTTCAACACAATCCTGCCATCCCTGCTCCAGGACAAGCTCTCCCAGCTCAACGTGCCCGATTCCACCTGCAGGTGGATCACTGACTTCCTGACGGACAGGAAGCAGCGAGTGCGTCTGGGGAAGAATGTCTCGACTCTCGGATTATAAATACAGGAGCCCCACAGGGCTGTGTTCTTTCTCCCCTGCTCTTCTCCCTGTACACCAACCACTGCACCTCCAGCCACGACTCCGTGAAGCTGATCAAGTTCGCGGACGACACCACCCTCATTGGACTCATCTCCAACAACGATGAGTCCGCCTACAGGAGGGAGGTGGACCGGCTGGTGTCCTGGTGCAGTGGTAACAACCTGGAGCTGAACGCCCAGAAGACAGTGGAGATGATTGTGGACTTCAGGAAGAGCACTGTCCCCCCGCCCCCACCCTCCGTGATGGACTCCCCCATCACCTCTGTGGAGTCCTTCCGTTTCCTGGACACCACCATCACCCAGGACCTCAAGTGGGAGCCGACCATCAGCTCCCTCATCAAGAAGGCCCAGCAGAGGATGTACTTCCTGCGGCAGCTCAGGAAAGCCAAGCTGCAGTTCTACACGGCCATCATCGAGTCCATCCTCACCTCCTCCGTCACCGTGTGGTTCGCTGGAGCCACAGTCAGGGACAAACAGAGACTACAGTGCATTGTGCGCTCTGCAGAGGAAGTGATCGGCCGCAGCCTTCCATCGCTGCAGGACCTGTACGTCGCCCGAGCTCGAGGCCGGGCTGGTCGTATCACAGCCGACCCCTCTCACCCTGCACATGGACTATTCCAACCACTCCCCTCAGGCAGGAGGCTGCGGTCCATCAGGACTAGAACCTCCCGCCACAAGAACAGTTTCTTCCCCTCTGCTGTTGGACTCTTGAACACTTCTTAACCTGTCCCCCCGCCCTTTATAAAGTCACTTTACTGCCCATCACACGTCACTTTACTTCACTGTACTTCTGTCACCTTACATTGTGTGCACCATGTGCACTTGGATATTGTAAATAGTAACTGTAACTCTATTTTAAATTTAAATTTATTCTTTAGAAGTGTTTTTTATTCTTATTTTTATTATCTCTTTTTGACTGTTGCACTGAGCCAAAGCAATTTCCAAGTCTGTGACCTCCCGTTACTTACGTTGGCAATAAAAATGATTCTGATTCTGATTCTGAAACATTATATACTGTAAAGATAAGAACCAGCATGTTATTAGAGACACGGGAGGAGAGAGACACGGGAGGAGAGAGACACGCGAGGAGAGAGACACGGGAGGAGGGAGACACGGGAGGAGAGAGACACGGGAGGAGAGAGACACGGGAGGAGAGAGACACGGGAGGAGAGAGACACGGGAGGAGAGAGACACGGGAGGAGAGAGACACGGGAGGAGGGAGACACGGGAGGAGAGAGACACGGGAGGAGGGAGAGAGAGAGAGGGAGAGAGATACGGGAGGAGGGAGACACGGGAGGAGAGAGACACGGGAGGAGAGAGACACGGGAGGAGGGAGACACGGGAGGAGGGAGACACGGGAGGAGGGAGACACGGGAGGAGAGAGACACGGGAGGAGGGAGACACGGGAGGAGAGAGACACAGGAGGAGGGAGACACGGGAGGAGAGAGAGACACGGGAGGAGAGAGACACGGGAGGAGGGAGACACGGGAGGAGAGAGACACGGGAGGAGAGAGACACGGGAGGAGAGAGACACGGGAGGAGAGAGACACGGGAGGAGGGAGACACGGGAGGAGAGAGACACGGGAGGAGGGAGACACGGGAGGAGAGAGACACGAGAGAGACACGGGAGGAGAGAGACACGGGAGGAGAGAGACACGGGAGGAGGGAGACACGGGAGGAGAGAGACACGGGGAGGAGGGAGAGGGAGGAGGGAGACACGGGAGGAGGGAGACACGGGAGGAGAGAGACACGAGAGAGACACGGGAGGAGAGAGACACGGGAGGAGAGAGACACGGGAGGAGGGAGACACGGGAGGAGAGAGACACGGGAGGAGGGAGACACGGGAGGAGGGAGACACGGAGGAGGGAGACACGGGAGGAGGGAGACACGGAGGAGGAGGGAGACACGGGAGGAGGGAGACACGGAGGAGGGAGACACGGGAGGAGAGAGACACGGGAGGAGGGAGACACGGGAGGAGGGAGACACGGGAGGAGAGAGACACGGGAGGAGAGAGACACGGGAGGAGGGAGACACGGGAGGAGAGAGACACAGGAGGAGGGAGACACGGGAGGAGAGAGACACGGGAGGAGAGAGACACGGGAGGAGGGAGACACGGGAGGAGAGAGACACGGGAGGAGAGAGACACGGGAGGAGAGAGACACGGGAGGAGAGAGACACGGGAGGAGGGAGACACGGGAGGAGTGAGACACGGGAGGATGGAGAGAGAGAGAGGGAGAGAGATACGGGAGGAGGGAGACACGGGAGGAGGGAGACACGGGAGGAGAGAGACACGAGAGAGACACGGGAGGAGGGAGACACGGGAGGAGAGAGACACGGGAGGAGGGAGACACGGGAGGAGAGAGACACGGGAGGAGGGAGACACGGGAGGAGGGAGACACGGGGAGAGAGAGACACGGGAGGAGGGAGACACGGGAGGAGAGAGACACGGGAGGAGGGAGACACGGGAGGAGGGAGACACGGGAGGAGGGAGACACGGGAGGAGAGAGACACGGGAGGAGAGAGACACGGGAGGAGGGAGACACGGAGGAGGAGGGAGACACGGGAGGAGGGAGACACGGAGGAGGAGGGAGACACGGGAGGAGGGAGACACGGGAGGAGGGAGACACGGAGGAGGGAGACACGGGAGGAGGGAGACACGGAGGAGGGAGACACGGAGGAGGGAGACACGGGAGGAGGGAGACACGGAGGAGGAGGGAGACACGGGAGGAGGGAGACACGGAGGAGGGAGACACGGGAGGAGAGAGACACGGAGGAGGGAGACACGGGAGGAGGGAGACACGGAGGAGGGAGACACGGGAGGAGAGAGACACGGGAGGAGAGAGACACGGGAGGAGGAGACACGGAGGAGGGAGACACGGGAGGAGAGAGACACGGGAGGAGGGAGACACGGGAGGAGGGAGACACGGGAGGAGGGAGACACGGGAGGAGGGAGACACGGGAGGAGGGAGACACGGAGGAGGAGGGAGACACGGAGAGGGGAGACACGGAGGAGGGAGACACGGAGGAGGGAGACACGGAGGAGGAGACGGAGAGAGACACGGGAGGAGAGAGACACGGGAGGAGAGAGACACGGGAGGAGAGAGACACGGGAGGAGGGAGACACGGGAGGAGGGAGACACGGGAGGAGGGAGACACGGGAGGAGAGAGACACGGGAGGAGAGAGACACGGGAGGAGGGAGACACGGAGGAGGAGGGAGACACGGGAGGAGGGAGACAACGGAGGAGGAGGGAGACACGGGAGGAGGGAGACACGGGAGGAGGGAGACACGGAGGAGGGAGACACGGGAGGAGGGAGACACGGAGGAGGGAGACACGGAGGAGGGAGACACGGGAGGAGGGAGACACGGAGGAGGAGGGAGACACGGGAGGAGGGAGACACGGAGGAGGGAGACACGGGAGGAGAGAGACACGGAGGAGGGAGACACGGGAGGAGGGAGACACGGAGGAGGGAGACACGGGAGGAGAGAGACACGGGAGGAGAGAGACACGGGAGGAGGGAGACACGGAGGAGGGAGACACGGGAGGAGAGAGACACGGGAGGAGGGAGACACGGGAGGAGGGAGACACGGGAGGAGGGAGACACGGGAGGAGGGAGACACGGGAGGAGGGAGACACGGAGGAGGAGGGAGACACGGGAGGAGGGAGACACGGAGGAGGGAGACACGGGAGGAGAGAGACACGGGAGGAGGGAGAGAGAGAGAGGGAGAGAGATACGCAAGGAGCGAGAGATGCAAGGAGAAACACAAGGAACACAAACAAGACTTAAACAAGTTGCAGAACTCATGAGCAGTGTGAAATCAGTGTTTTTCAGGGAAGCACTTTTACGCAGCTCTAGAACATGTTCAATATAAAACACAGACTGACTCCGCCCCCGCGGCCGGTCTAACCGTCAGTCCAGTCTCTCTCAGTCTATATTACTTCTTGCTTTGATTGAAAGTCCAGTTGAGAAACAAATCCTCAATCCAATCATCCATTTTCCAGCAAAAGAAATAGCACCGACAGGAATGATAGTTGTTAGCAAAATATTTACAGTCTGTGTTAGCATCTCAGGTATAACTTCATGCTCACTATCACCCCTAGTGGTGAGGCACAGACACTGCCTGCCTCACTATCACCCCCTAGTGGTGAGGCACAGACACTGCCTGCCTCACTATCACCCCCTAGTGGTGAGGCACAGACACTGCCTGCCTCACTATCACCCCCTAGTGGTGAGGCACAGACACTGCCTGCCTCACTATCACCCCCTAGTGGTGAGGCACAGACACTGCCTGCCTCACTATCACCCCCTAGTGGTGAGACACAGACACTGCCTGCCTCACGCCAGGCTTTTCCCATGTGTATTCTTCTCCGATCAAAATACTTCAAATAATTATATGTAGTACACACATACGTGCAATACATTACTTAACACTATGACAAGTTAAACAAATGTTTTCATAGCAGGATGTTGAGACAAAAGGGATATATCAACCCATGGCCCATTGGCCCATTAGTTAGAACGGCGCAGATACTGACTCTGTAGTTAATATATACAGTCTATGGCTATTCCTAGATCTGTTGTTGGTCATGTGTGCGACCCCCTCCTCAGTCCTGACTTTAAAGCTCAGTCAGAAACCTCAGAAGTTATTCAACTGTAATCCATTGTAGTCATTTGAGTCATTGATTCTGTTTTTGATCATTTTTCACACCAAATATTGTGTTCTGTGGCAAATATGTGGGGGACACTAATTTACTCCTTCCCCGGTGGCCCCGCCCCCACTTTGGGAACCGAAGTATAGATTATTTATTAGTATTTTTTTTATCTCTACAACAAAAAGATTTGCCCAGGACTGACTATGGAACTATTGAAATAATAAACAACATGTATTGACATTGGTTTGAACTGTTTTAAATTTAATTACAGAAATTCCTGAAGGAGATGTTCCCGATTGAAGCGGGTCAGATCGAGAGGAGCGACAGAATCATCCCTTCATTACCAGGTACAAAATGTATAGGACCAGAGAGACACCAGAGAGAGACACCAGAAAGAGAGACACCAGAAAGAGACCAGAGAGAGAGACACCAGAGAGAGACCAGAGAGACCAGAGGGAGACACCAGAGAGAGAGACACCAGAGAGAGAGACACCAGAGAGAGAGACACCAGAGAGAGACACCAGTGAGAGACCAGAGAGAGAGACCAGAGAGAGAGACCAGAGAGAGAGACCAGAGGGAGACACCAGAGAGAGAGACACCAGAGAGAGACACCAGTGAGAGAGACACCAGAGGGAGAGACCAGAGAGAGAGACCAGAGAGAGAGACCAGAGAGAGAGACCAGAGGGAGACACCAGAGAGAGAGACACCAGAGAGAGACACCAGTGAGAGAGACACCAGAGGGAGACTAGAGAGACCAGAGAGAGAGACCAGAGAGAGAGACCAGAGGGAGACACCAGAGAGAGAGACACCAGAGAGAGACACCAGTGAGAGAGACACCAGAGGGAGACTAGAGAGACCAGAGAAAGAGACCAGAGGGAGACACCAGAGAGAGAGACACCAGAGAGAGACACCAGTGAGAGAGACACCAGAGGGAGACTAGAGAGACCAGAGAGAGAGACCAGAGAGAGAGACCAGAGGGAGACACCAGAGAGAGAGATACCAGAGAGAGACACCAGAGAGAGAGACACCAGAGGGAGACAAGAGAGACCAGAGAGAGAGACTGGAGAGAGACCAGAGAGAGAGACCAGAGAGAGCGACCAGAGAGAGAGACACCAGAGAGAGACACCAGTGAGAGAGACACCAGAGGGAGAGACCAGAGAGAGAGACCAGAGAGAGCGACCAGAGAGAGAGACCAGAGAGAGAGACACCAGAGGGAGACCAGAGAGACCAGAGGGAGACACCAGAGAGAGACACCAGAGAGAGACACCAGTGAGAGAGACACCAGAGGGAGACCAGAGAGACCAGAGAGAGAGACCAGAGAGAGAGACCAGAGGGAGACACCAGAGAGAGAGACACCAGAGAGAGAGACACCAGAGGGAGACCAGAGAGACCAGAGAGAGAGACCAGAGAGAGAGACCAGAGAGAGAGACCAGAGGGAGACACCAGAGAGAGAGACACCAGAGAGAGACACCAGTGAGAGAGACACCAGAGGGAGACCAGAGAGACCAGAGAGAGAGACCAGAGAGAGAGACCAGAGGGAGACACCAGAGAGAGAGACACCAGAGAGAGAGACACCAGAGGGAGACCAGAGAGACCAGAGAGAGAGACCAGAGAGAGAGACCAGAGGGAGACACCAGAGAGAGAGACACCAGAGAGAGACACCAGAGAGAGAGACACCAGAGGGAGACAAGAGAGACCAGAGAGAGAGACTGGAGAGAGACCAGAGAGAGAGACCAGAGAGAGCGACCAGAGAGAGAGACACCAGAGAGAGACACCAGTGAGAGAGACACCAGAGGGAGAGACCAGAGAGAGAGACCAGAGAGAGCGACCAGAGAGAGAGACCAGAGAGAGAGACACCAGAGGGAGACCAGAGAGACCAGAGGGAGACACCAGAGAGAGAGACACCAGAGAGAGACACCAGTGAGAGAGACACCAGAGGGAGACCAGAGAGACCAGAGAGAGAGACCAGAGAGAGAGACCAGAGGGAGACACCAGAGAGAGAGACACCAGAGAGAGAGACACCAGAGGGAGACCAGAGAGACCAGAGAGAGAGACCAGAGAGAGAGACCAGAGGGAGACACCAGAGAGAGAGACACCAGAGAGAGACACCAGAGGGAGACAAGAGAGACCAGAGAGAGAGAGACTGGGGAGAGACCAGAGAGAGAGACCAGAGGGAGACCAGAGAGACCAGAGAGAGAGACCAGAGGGAGACACCAGAGAGAGAGACACCAGAGAGAGACCAGAGAGAGGGACCAGAGAGAGAGACCAGAGAGAGAGACACCAGAGGGAGACCAGAGAGACCAGAGGGAGACACCAGAGAGAGAGACACCAGAGAGAGACACCAGAGGGAGACCAGAGAGAGAGACCAGAGAGAGAGACCAGAGGGAGACACCAGAGAGAGAGACACCAGAGAGAGACACCAGTGAGAGAGACACCAGAGGGAGACCAGAGAGACCAGAGAGAGAGACCAGAGGGAGACACCAGAGAGAGAGACACCAGAGAGAGACACCAGAGAGAGAGACACCAGAGGGAGACAAGAGAGACCAGAGAGAGAGACTGGAGAGAGACCAGAGAGAGAGACCAGAGGGAGACACCAGAGAGAGAGACACCAGAGAGAGACACCAGTGAGAGAGACACCAGAGGGAGAGACCAGAGGGAGAGACCAGAGGGAGAGACCAGAGAGAGAGACCAGAGAGAGAGACCAGAGAGAGAGACCAGAGAGAGAGACCAGAGAGAAACCAGAGAGAGAGACCAGAGAGAGACCAGAGAGAGACCAGAGAGAGACCAGAGAGACACCAGAGAGAGACACCAGTGAGAGAGACACCAGAGGGAGAGACCAGAGGGAGAGACCAGAGAGAGAGACCAGAGAGAGAGACCAGAGAGAGACCAGAGAGAGAGACCAGAGAGAGAGACCAGAGAGAGACCAGAGAGAGAGACCAGAGAGAGACATGTGATCCACAGTGTTAGTTCATGGAGTTCAGTGATGCTTCTGTTTAATCTGAAACTAAAAAGACAGAAACGAAAGTCCACTTCTCTTTTCATGAATCCTGAAGACAGCGGTTTGGTTTCAGGTGTTGGGGACTAATGTGAAAGGGATGAATGTGAAAGGGACTAATGTGAAAGGGACGAATGTGAAAGGGACTAATGTGAAAGGGACTAATGTAAAAGGGACGAATGTGAAAGGGACTAATGTGAAAGGGACTAATGTGAAAGAGACTAATGTGAAAGGGACAAATGTGAAAGGGACTAATGTGAAAGAGACTAATGTGAAAAGGACTAATGTGAAAGAGAATAATGTGAATGAGACTAATGTGAAAGGGACTTATGTGAAAGGGACTAATGTGAAAGGAACTAATGTGAAAGAGACTAATGTGAAAGGGACAAATGTGAAAGGGACTAATGTGAAAGAGACTAATGTGAAAAGGACTAATGTGAAAGAGAATAATGTGAATGAGACTAATGTGAAAGGGACTTATGTGAAAGGGACTAATGTGAAAGGAACTAATGTGAAAGAGAATAATGTGAAAGGGACTAATGTGAATGAGACTAATGTGAAAGGGACTTATGTGAAAGGGACTAATGTGAAAGGAACTAATTTGAAAGGGACTAATGTGAAAGGGACTTATGTGAAAGGGACTAATGTGAAAGGGACTAAGGTGAAAGGGACTAATGTGAAAGGGACTAATGTGAAAGAGAATAATGTGAAAGGGACTAATGTGAAAGGGACTAATGTGAACGGGACTAATGTTAAAGGGACTAATGTGAAAGGGACTAATGTGAACGGGACTAATGTTAAAGGGACTAATGTTAAAGGGACTAATGTGAAAGGGACTTATGTGAACGGGACTAATGTGAAAGGGACTAATGTGAAAGGGACTAATAAGGGACTAATGTGAAAGGGACTAATGTGAATGAGACTAATGTGAATGAGACTAATGTGAAAGGGACTAATGTGAAAGGGACTAATGTGAAAGGGACTAATGTGAACGGGACTAATGTTAAAGGGACTAATGTTAAAGGGACTAATGTTAAAGGGGACTAATGTGAAAGGGACTAATGTGAAAGGGACTATTGTTAAAGGGACTAATGTGAAAGACACTTATGTGAAAGGGACTAATGTGAAAGGGACTAATGTGAAAGGGACTAATGTGAAAGGGACTAATGTGAACGGGACTAATGTTAAAGGGACTAATGTTAAAGGGACTAATGTGAAAGGGACTAATGTGAAAGGGACTAATGTGAAAGGGACTAATGTGAATGAGACTAATGTGAAAGGGACTAATGTGAAAGGGACTAATGTGAACGGGACTAATGTTAAAGGGACTAATGTGAAAGGGACTAATGTGAAAGGGACTAATAAGGGACTAATGTGAAAGGGACTAATGTGAATGGGACTAATGTGAATGAGACTAATGTTAAAGGGACTAATGTTAAAGGGACTAATGTTAAAGGGACTAATGTGAAAGGGACTAATGTGAAAGGGACTAATGTGAATGGGACTAATGTGAATGAGACTAATGTTAAAGGGACTAATGTTAAAGGGACTAATGTTAAAGGGACTAATGTGAAAGGGACTAATGTGAAAGGGACTAATGTGAAAGGGACTAATAAGGGACTAATGTGAAAGGGACTAATGTGAATGAGACTAATGTGAATGAGACTAATGTGAAAGGGACTAATGTGAAAGGGACTAATGTGAAAGGGACTAATGTGAACGGGACTAATGTTAAAGGGACTAATGTTAAAGGGACTAATGTGAAAGGGACTAATGTGAAAGGGACTAATAAGGGACTAATGTGAAAGGGACTAATGTGAATGGGACTAATGTGAATGAGACTAATGTTAAAGGGACTAATGTGAAAGGGACTAATGTGAAAGGGACTAATGTGAACGGGACTAATGTGAACGGGACTAATGTTAAAGGGACTAATGTTAAAGGGACTAATGTGACTGAGACTAATGTGAAAGGGACTAATGTGAAAGGGACTAATGTGAAAGGGACTAATGTGAAATATTATAATGTTAAAGGTATTAATGTTAGAGATAACAATGTTAAATATTATAATGTTAAAGATATTAATGTTAGAGATAACAATGTTAAATATTATAATGTGCCTCATATGCAGCGATGCTTATGTTTATTTATGTTACCAACAGGAACAATACTTTAGTTTGAACCAGAAGCTGTGTTTAAAAAGAGATAATAAGGTGCAAAAGTGTGAATTATTTTGAACAAAAGGTATTTACAGACGGGATTTATACAAAATATACAATAGAAAACATAAAAGAGAACCAGTGGAGCAGCGGAGACTAGTGCTGTCTGCTTACCCATGGTCCTGACCACATG